TATGATAAGAGTTAGACAATTAATCAAATCAAATAGTAGATGAACAAAAATACACAACTCATTCCATTGTGCCATTTAAGAAAATATGCCAAAATGAAAAATAATAATAATAAAGCTTTGAAAAACTAACTACTCAATTCTGCTGCTTAGGACCTCCTTCAGCAGGCTTTGGCCTTCACTCCATTGAAGCAGATAATGTGACGTAATAGTTCAGAAAACATCATAGAAAATGGGGAAAACTGAGCGGGCTGAAAAAAATGTGACTCTAACAGAATATAAAGATATCTTTGCAACTCCGTGAGAGACTAAATTAAACTTTTCTGCATTGACTCCAAGTACACAACAAAATGTTCAGGTAAAAAAGATGATTTTGCAAATATTACAAGTTGTAGATTTCCTGTTTTCAGGATCGTCCTGTTGCCTGATCCAGTCCGGGTCGAGCTTCTGCTGTTGGACTGATGTTGTCACATTTTTGTATGTCTATGGAGAAGTTCTTGTTGGCTTCGATTAGAGTAAAGGTTCCCAAAAGGGGGAATTGTGGCCCTGAATTAAAAAAAAAAAGGAATGCTTGGACATAATGGAAAGGTTTTTGATGATTAGAGGATTAAAGATGTCATTTTTGATTCACAACCCTTCGATATTTTTCCCCTCTCAGGAAACCATGTTTTTAAACTCATTTTGYACAGAAAAGCATTTTTTTAAATTATTGATCATTTTGATAGCATTGCTGAATGTTGTCACACACTAAAACAGTTACATTTAAAATAGTGGCATTATAGAGGGGTTGTTTGTTTTATTGCAAACTGTATCATATTTCCATTTTTATTAGTTCAGTCCTGATAAGATTGGCAGCTGTCCTAAARGTTTTCCAGTTGTGAATATGTTCCCTGTAGCATGATGGACTCCTCATTATATTTGGAAATGACCTTTTTTATCCGTCCCAGGCCGATGGGCAGCAAGTTGCTTAGGTCATTGCTGATGTCTTTTSTACTCACAGTAAGYTAACATTCACCTGTACACSACAGAGCAGAAAACACACATAACTCCTGCTTTTATAAAGGCCAACATRTTTGCTGATGATTGACTTTAATCAGGTGCATTTAATCAGCTTCACCTGGCTGCTATTTTACCTCTTAAATCGAGTAGAACCAGTGTGTATTCAATAAAAACTTTTTTTCTACCCAAAACTGTATGCATTTCAGGATAAATCTTGCACACAAAATGCTGCAGAGATTATATGTTTTACTTCTGCTGTCTACATTCTTAGACTTGTCTTTGACGCCCTCTTGTGGCCAATAATAGTCATGACAGCTTGTCCAGAGACAACACAGAAGGGAAATAAAGCACAGCACACATCGCTCACGTCTTTACAGCAGCAATTTCAAAATTTATTGAGACTGATTGGATTTTGCAAATAATAGTCAAGCTAGATCTTCCACTAAACATGAAGTTAGAAAGAGGCAYGGACAACCTGCGGGCTGGACCCAACATCTAAACAGAAGGCTCATGGTTGACTGCAAAAGTGTTTTGTGATCAGTACTATCA